TTAGGTTATCTGTACCAGTCAATCTTTGTGGTCCTCGGTGTAGTGCCCCTATATCTCTTCATCCAAAATGACAAATATTCAGTAGTGTGCTGATGCAGCTGTACCGCTAATAAGACGATCGCCTAATTGTGTGTCAAAATTACAATATGGAGCTCACGTGTGTCAGCAAAAGTGTATATATATATATATATATCTGAGGTATTAAAAAGGGCAAACATTGAGTAGTGAACGATTTATTGTGAAGTTTCAAATCCACACCAGGATCCGTTACCGAACAAATAAGCGTGTCGGAATATATATATATATATATATATATATATATATATATATTTGTCTGTTTAACCCACCCCTGTGTGTGCAGAAACGTTTTGTTCAGACTTTGGATCTGCCTTGGCCATCCCCCCACCCTGTTAGCCTGTCAAGAACCACTGTTCAAGTGGGTACTTGATGCAGTATGACATTCAGTTGACTGACTTCATAAACCACCCGTCCGTGTTTACCTCCTTCATGATCCCCTTGTAAAATGTGATATAAATATGATGTATTTAGCCTGATGATGAATCACTGAAAACGAGCTTGTTCGCTACACTGTATTTTTCATGAAATTCAGTCGATTAACACCCGTCCGAACGGTGTGAGCAGCACGCGGATTGAACGGATTCAATGCTGACAACTCCTCACTCCTTCCAATCGAGACGACGTTGATCGCGAGTCCCAGTTGTCATTCGAATTGCCCCACAGTCATTGATAGGACGATATTTGTTTTCACAACCCTGTTTTAGATCAAAGCAGGCGGTAGTTAAGTCGTGTCATGTTAAAGCGAGGTACACAGAAATAGCTGATCACAACATGGTCCCAGTTATGTCTGTCGTACCATCTTCTGCCCGATCCGGAAGTGACAGATAGGGCTAGTGTCGGAGTTGACTGCGCTGTCTTGTCTCTTACTAGCGCGTCAATTCGAAGGGCCGATCAAATCAAAAACAACATGAGTATTCAAAGCGCAGTCGGGTAGTTTACATCACAGTAGAAAGCGAACCTGACTAACCCCAGTTTAACAGCTACATCTCCAGTTTTATCTAATGATTAGAGACCACTGATTGCAACTGGTCATATTTCAAAAACAATTGGCCAGACTTTCATTCCTTCATAAGCGTCGTTCCGGAAGATAAAGACTTCTTTAGAAGTGTAATATAAAGTCTTGAACGAAAATTGACAGGAGCAGTTGCAGCTGGATATTCGGAGGGGTACTGATATTAAAGGGACACAATTTTCACACATAACTCGTTCCACTTTCTAGTGAGGTCTTTACACACGAACAGTGATTAAGGCAAGGTGATATCACCACTTTTACTTAATTCTCGATACCGATAGGTTACTTCTTTTGTATACCATTCATTCACCCAGTTGACATTTCAGTACACTCAGCCTAATTCTGTCTAGTTAGGCATGTTGACTGATAAAAGCACAAACTTGATGTACAGATTAAGATTACGAGGCGGATTGCTGAGTGACAATTTTCCTACGTCAAACGTATGCCTGGAGACCCAAGTGGTAGCGATTTAGTAGTGACATGAAACTCTATACAATGCGTTAATGTGCTTGTCTATAGACCATGCGTGTGCTAATATCTGATCAGCTGGAGAAAATGGTTTACTCTTAAAGGATCACACCGGCGGTGGTCGGACTTATAAGGTTTTCTTCTAAAAATATCTACCGCAAACCTAACATCTAACAACCAACCTGTGGTCCATCTTCAAGCTAAGTCCACACCGAATGAAATTACAGAGAATAAAATGTAGAAACAATGGTTTATGTCGTGCCAGGTTCAAGTGGGTTATCAAAGATCACTTGTTATTTACCGCTTGTCACAAAGCTCGTGTTATTTCATTGTGTATCATTCTGTTGAATTCTCACAAATCGCAAATTTTGAAGCACAGTGAAGTTTTGTTTGTCAGTCATACGTAACCAGTTCTATAAGCCATTGACAAATCAGTCTCTGCTTGTAGTAGATTTGGTTGTAAATATCAGTGGATATTCTACTCAAATTATGCACTTGCCCTGTATGTACCATTCGTTGTTTCTGTTTACACGCCACTTCAAAGTTCAAGCATGATGACAGCTTGTGAAATCAATTCATACCATAGTTTGTCTTCCGGTTGTTCTACTCAAAGATTAGTAACGTGAATTGCTGGATTTACAGTTGTGTTTGGTTGATGAAGCTATTATGTGACATAAATACGTTTCACTGTAGGCAGACATCGAGACTCAGAAACGCAATGCCCCAGCAAGCTCAGGCATCAGAAATCAATAAGTTTTTAACAGTGCACGACCAATAGAACCTGATGTGTGTTAATGACTCATTCAGACATTTGTTGTGTGTGTTTGTGATGTCGGACTAGTCAACTAGACAATAGTTAAACACACCTCGGTGATCAACAGTCTGATACGCCTTAACTTAACGTGGTGAGAAATTGACAACTATAGTACAAAGATGATCAGCCGATAAACTCACAATCCGCCAAATTCATTTTTGCGTTAACCTGAACTAAATGTTACTACTACAATTTGATGTAATTTTCGTCTGGCTCAACCGAGAAGAAAGTATTATATTGAGATCGCAACCTTTATAGTGTTCAACAGCGATGAACCTGAAGTGAATGTGAGTCAGATTTGACCGCACCTTTGCATTCATACAAGTGTATCAACATCTGGAAAAGAATGACAAGATACAAGTGTCTGTCTTACAAGGGTTCACACCAAGAGTATATCCTTGCCAAGATTCAAACATCTGATAACGCTTTCTTGAGGCAACTGTGTTGATCACAGTGTCCTTACCTAATACTAAACACGAACGAAGTATCATAGCTGCTCTCTTGTCTGTA